AGTGTAGGCAGTCGGTTTTGATAGGTGAGCAAGTTATATTGGTAATGAACTATTTACATGTTAATATCTTTCCACAATCGTTATGAGTTATTTAAGCAGACAAGAATTAGGTCATACGCAAAAAAAAAGTGGTAATGCTTTATTTACACCGAGGAAAGTCAGGGTATGTTACAAGAATGATTTGTAACATACCACTGTGGATAAAATACCCTGACATTTACAAGACTCATACTATGTGCAACTTACACTGACCTCGTCAGCTTGTATGGCGCGATGATTTCTTTACGTCATGGAAAGCTAGACAAGCAGTACCCAATAAACTGTCAAAACAACAGACATGTTGGTATATAATATCTCTTTACACAATATAAAAATATATCTCAGCGACTCTCATTAAAATGTAAATGGAAAATTGTGGAAAATAAAGTAGGGTATGTTAATGCAATTAGCGACTGAATAAAAATACGTAAGCATTCATCCATCATAAACACTCCATAGCCCCTAGTACAGATGTAGTAGAGAAGTCCTCTTCCGGGAAAAATGTTGGCCCCTGAAAACAAATGGTGGCGTTTCTGGCTTGGCTACGGAGGACTGTAGTCCAGTTCTAGGTTCTGCACAGACTGGGAATACATCCAGTACGAATTGTATCCAGCCAAAAGCAAAATGATGCAAATTCTATGCTTGGGGCATCTGTAAGCATGGAATATCGGGGAAAACAAATGGGACATGCAGCTTTGAGCATCCCAAAATATGCCGCGACCTCCTGTCTAAAGGAGTGTGTCGTTCTACCTCTTGCAAATTCTTCCACCCTGAGATGTACCACTCTTCAGTCCTTAAAAAACAATGTTACAACACCATCTTCCCCGCATACAACTTCAAAAGGACCAGGAGGTACACACCCCGTAAAACAAATCATAATAGTTACAGTAGTTACAACTCCACTCCAAGTGATTTTTTAGTGGTAGGAAACGAAGAAAGAAAATGGAAAGAAAACCAAAAAAGTTCACCACCTTGGAGCCTTGTTGGACTGGAGGCACAGACAGTGGTCTCTCCAGACTCACAACTACTGATACCAACAGCAAAATCCCCCCAACAAACATGCAACACCTCATTTATATTTGCTAATATACAGAGCCTTAAGGCCTTGTATAGCAAATATAAATCAGGGGACTTCTAGGGGAGTCAAATTCAATGTATGCAGCCTTCACAGAGACCCACGCAAAAGATTACTTTGGCAGTGAAATATGGATACAACCTTTTCAGATGCGACAGAAAGAACAGGCTACAAGGGGGAGTTGACCAGTATGTCAAAGAGTCGCTCATTCGCACGGAGATACTAAACACCACAAATGTCATTGAAGTTCTAACAATAAAAATCGAGAACCAAAACTTAGTCATTGTGCTTGTATATAAGCCACCAGATGCAACTTCCCAACAGTTCAAGGAACAGCTATCGAAAACTGATTACTGTCTGGAAAACTTTCCAACCCCATCCCCAAACATCTTGCTGCTTGGTGACTTCAATCAAAGACATACAAAATGGAAGAATGTAGCAAATAATGTTGTAGCAGAAATAATCCCTAGAAGCAGCTCAGATGAAAAGTCTCACACATACATGACTGAAGAACATAACTGGAGAACACGCTAGACCTTATTTTCACAAGTAATGAGGACCTGGTAAGAAACATAATATAAAAAACAACTAATTCTGATCACATTTTAATCGAAGTCCCGACTTACATGCACAGGAGTCCTTATCAGCAAAATGCATACAGCTATGAGGGTTCCTTTACCAAATTCAACTTCATGGACCCTAGCCAGTGCCTTGAAAATATCTACTTTCGGGTATCTGAAGTATGTTCAAGGAATATTCCCCTAAGAAAAAATAAGAGAAGTAAACTGGAGAGACGCTCCCTTTACAGGAGAAGGCGAAGTATCACTGAGCTCTTCAAGAATGCCAGATTATCCGAAACACGGAAGGAAGCGCTAACCAGGGAAGTGGAAAATTTTGAGCTTAAGTTAAAGGACTTATACAGCATCCAGGAGAGAAAAGAGGAGCTAAAAGCGTTTAGTGAAATTGAAAGAAATTCGAAATATTTCTTTTTATATGCCAAAAACAAGGCAAAAACCACATCTAGTAAAGGGTCCCTGCTCAGACAAGACGGATCCTACACAGATGACAATAAAGAAATGAGTGAGATACTGAAATCTAAATATGACTCTGTGTTCGGCTAGCCACTAATCGGTCTAAAGATAGATAATCCAAACAATTTTTTCATGAACCTCAAAACCCTGTCAACGTATGCCAAATTTCTGGCATAACCCTAACTCCACTAGACTATGAGAAAGCCATCGACAACATGCCCATGCACTCAGCCCAAGACCCAGACTCATGGAACTTTGTGCTCATTAAGAAACCCCTCTCACTGGCCCTACGTATCCTATGGAGAAAGAGCATAGACACAGACGAGATTCCACAGTAACTAAAAACAACGAATAT